ATAAATCACTAGCACAAGGATAATATCATGAGAAAAAGTACATAGAGGGTTGATAACATGCATAATACAAAGATTTTACCCAGGCAGGAGTTAGAGTTAAAGTGATCATTTACTTTAAAGATGACTTTACTCAAGCCAGTGAACAGTTTTGATGGGGACCATAATAAGTTTCTAGGAGAAAAATTGTACTATCAGTGTGAGAGGTGTACGTCTTTATAGGAGTTTGGTGATGGGGAAAAAGTCTAGGCAGCAAATGTGATTAACTAAACAATGAGTGATTGCAGGTCATCTATCATTTTGTAGACTTTCTGCACAGGCTTGCACTGTGTCTAACATTATGTGTTTAACATTGCAGTTTGACTATTTCCTCCAATGTACAGAAGGCCTCTTAGCTTCAGATAAGGTCTAGGCTAGACCAGTGGGGGCAAACTCTGTCTGGCATGCACACCACAGTACACTGTACCTTTGAAAACTCAGAAAGGTTTGCCATCACTGCTGTATACATATTAAACTTTAGAAAGGTCTAGTCCTTACGCATGCCCATAAATGATAATCAATACAGTTTTAATGTTGAAAATTTTACATAACACATTTACATAATGTTTACATGCTATACCTGTCCTTTTACATCTTCATTCTTTACTCAAAATCATGTTTTTAAGTCATATTCATTCATGTCCATACACCAGCAGCTTTTCATTAATTTTAAAACCTGGAAGCCAGGCCCTGTACAGGGAGCATCTGCTGAGGTCATTTGATACTTGGCTGAGATCCACTTCCCTGTCTTTTCCACCTGCTTCCTCTCTCACTTCATTTTCATTTGCTAAGGGTTTCTTGGCATTTTTACCTTCCCTGAATCCCATGCACCTTTAGTAAGACCAGAACATACTGCTCTTCCTACTTTCCAAGAGCCACTCAGCTGTGAAATGACCAAATAAGTTGCAGATGCTGGTCTGACCCTTCTTCTCAGCCTTTGATTGACACAGTAACTAATTACAAATGGTGGTGAGCAGCTCAGACCTGAGGCCAAACATATGGAACTACAATTTTTCTTCCCTTTCATTCTCTGGCACTTAGAGTTGATTTTTTTCTCTTTATCTCAATTATATATATTCAAATTTAAAAATATATGAGCTAATTAGTTTGGGTATTTATAGCAGATTAGCTCAGTGTGACATAATCCTTCAAGTCAAAACTTAACTTAGTTAAAAATGTCAGTTTTTCTTCTCTACATCCTTAAGAAAATAAAGTATAAATAAAGGTTTTTGAGTTAAATCATCACTGACTTTGACAAGGTCAAACTCATTGGACTTGAGAAGACTCATGAATGAGGAAAAGATGCTGTTGTATATTTAAGTGAAAAGCATTCTTTTATAAGGACTTAAAGTTCAACACTTTAATATTTTCCATCAATACTTGATGGAAAATATCTGTTCCATGTTATGCCTAAAATGTTTGATATTTAGACAGATAGGGTAAACTGAACTGCATGTGTTGTAGGGCAATAATAAGCTTCTCTTCTGGAGGGTTAACAACCTAAGTTTGCAGAGCAAAAAGTGGAGAAAAGGAAAGGCTGCAAGGTCAGCCAACATTTTTTGCCATAGTCTTTCAAGGTCAGTGAAGACTGAGGACATATGAGAACCTGTACTGTAACATCATGTAACACAGTTGTGCCCCAAATGTTCTGATCAAGGAGATTATGGAGTCACAGAGGAATGTGATTGATGATGTTTAGTGTGCCTAAGGAGAGTCACATGGAGAGAAAACTCTTTCAGGCTTTCACAGAGAGCACATTGGTCAAGCAATGGCCATGACTCATCCACATGGCTGATACTGACAAAGGATCTACAAAGTGCAGTACAGGGTTACTGGATAAATCCTGAGGGGACTTGACTGACCTTATCAGATACAAAAGTTACATTTCTTGTTATATAGGTCTTGTTTTATCTTGGTCTTAATCATCCAGCAGAAAAGTATAAAAATGAGTTATATAAAGTAAAGCCATATTAATATGCTGAGCTGTAAAAGGCTCCAGTCAACAACTTCTGTGGATAACCCACTACTATTGTGGACTGCTGGACTGTGTTGGATGGTTTTGCTGAATTCAAGCACCTGTAATATTTAGATGCCAATAGAATACCCATCTGTGACAGGGCTAAATAAAAAAGGGGATACAAATGAAGGCCCATTTTGTATTTACATATACAGAATAGTTAGGATAGATATGCAGCTACTTTCACTTAATTCAATGAGAAAAAAGATTTGTAGTAATAGTGTTTGGACAGAATATCCTGTCTGCTTCTTGTACTATGAATAACCACTTTTAAGATGCCAATGTACAATGTATTAATTATTGAAAATGTTCTATTAACCAGTTTTGAAACTGTCTCATTGATATTTGTTTCTCAATAAAATAAAGTAAGAGAGAAAAAAGAAAAGCATTCTGAGTTCACATGCTTTGTTATAATTAGGCCAATGTGACCATTCTGCAAAGGAAAAAAGAGTTTTTCCATGCAAAGGCAATTGGAATCTATATTCATTCCATGTTTGTCCTGTAGACACTGGCAGTATGAAATGTGGAAAGGTCACCTTCATTTGGAGCTCTGGATTGGAACTGAACATAAAATGTTCTAATTTGATTTGATATAAAGTGATCTTTCAGGGCACATTTCATGTTCTTGTATCACCTAAATGAAAACTCTTCATATTTTCATGGAAATACAAGTATTAAGGAATTAATACTTAATTAATTATTAAAGAATGATCAAAGTCTTCACCATTGCAGCAACTGAAGGAATGTGCATCTTGGGGGATATTTTTCACATTTGTCTTGAGGGAGTTTTGGTCCCTTAGTAATATTGGGAAGTCTAAGAATATTAACTGGGACTAATTTTAGCAGTTGTTACACTTTGTATGACCTAAAGAATAAAGTCTATATCTAAGGGATTTGTAAATCCTTTCAAATGACCTTCAAGTGCTTTCTCATGTTCTGAGCTTTCTCCTGAGTTTTGTTTAGCATTATTTATGCATTTTCTTATTGCATACTTTACCTACATTCCTATTCAAAACTCAACGTATATCTTTCACTAATATTTTCATTTTTTCTGAGTTCTCTCTGAAGCAGCATGCAGGCTAACAACTTAAGAAATTTTATTGCCTATTTCTATCCTTTTTGTGATACCTTTTCCCTGAATCCTTCCTGGATATACCTTTTGCGTATGACTCTTTTTCAGAACCACTTACAACACCAACACTAATTACAGCAGTTTCATTTTTCTTTTTGTTTTTGTACTAATCATTCATTAATAGTTGGAATTGCCTCTGGCCGTTCACTCTGCCTTTCTCTCTCTAACTCTTGTCTTTCCTGCCTGACAATATTGATCTTTCTCATTCAGCACTGACATTATTTCAATTCTCTCCAAAATAACAAATAGAAAACCTTGAGTGGCTTCCATTATTCTCCCACAGGGAGGAGGACCAGGCATTTGTCAACTTCCTACACTGCACTGATCCCAGCCTGTCTCTGATCTTTGTCTGTGCTGCCGTCCTGTGGTGGAAGGCGCTCCTCCTTTCCTAGACTCTCAGTGAATTTCATTGAGGAAGAAAATTACAGTGTGCTGATTTTTCTTATGAGTTCAGTAATTCTGACATAGCTTGCTATCAGATGGTATCTGAGAATCTAGCAGTGACCCCTGCATGTTTTACTAAGATTTTCCTATCTCATATCTTTACCTATAAACAGCATCACTGGAACAACATCAGTTTTCACCAGCAGGACAAAGAAATTGTGTGCATCCAACATATGTTATAGAAAAAATGTGAAAGGGGTTTTCATTCATCTCTCTCTTATACAGATTATTGAGCACCCACCATGCATATGATTTATTGCTCTTGGAGGTATAGAAATGGCAGTGAATAAAATATACAAATCCCTGTTGTTATGGAGCTTACATTTAAAATATGCATATGGGTACAGAGAAAAAACACAAGAAGCAAACAAATGTACAGCATCCCAGATAGTGACAATTGGTAGAGAGAAGCCATTGTAGATAGAGGATAAGTTCTCTTGCTTTTCTGTTTGGCGATGTTCTTATTTGGAAGGAAATCAAAATAGTTTTGATGAGCCAATGTCACTATCTTTAATTAGCTGGAAAATGCAGAGAGGTAATTTCTTTAGAGAATCTCTGGAGAAAACGCTAGAAAACAAAAGTCTTTCAATTTTTAATATGGTGTTTAGGTTCTCTTGACTAATAAAAATCCCTTGGGCCATGTTAGAAGGTGACTCTTTTGCCATTAGCTCAGGCTACTTTCCATTCCTTTCTCTGGCGAGGACGTTTTGAGCAAAGGGAGGACCAGAAATCATGATTAGCAATTCATGGTTTCTCACAGCTTGGGTCACTGGGGGCTGTGTTCTAGTTCTCTCAGTCCAAAATTTGTCCAAAGCAACAGCAACTGTGACAAAAGCAAAATCTTTCTTTGGACTGTATATGTCTGAAACTTATCATAGCCACTTAGCTCTTTGAAAATTGAGAATTAACAAGAAATTTCTTCCCTGAAGAAATGCTGCCAAACGGTGAGTGTTGAACTGTACCTCTTATTTTTCTTTCAAATCTTATCTGTGGGGTCCAGGGAATGCTTGAAATGCCTCGTCTCCTGTCTACCAAGAAGACTGCTGACTCTGAGGTGGGAGCGGGACTATGGAGGCAGAAATGGAGTGGAGATACTGCAGCATTGGTGCAGCATTGGGGGGTGGTCCTGGCTTCCTGAAATCCATCCTTCCAGACTGCCTTCTATATCCTGCATAATGTTCATCTTTATACATACCCTCTGCCTTCCAAAATGCAGAAAACAGGAGCACATGGAAGGAAGAGCTTCAGTTCATCCTCCTGTTCTCTGACTCAATTCTCATTACAATGGAGTTGGCTGGAGAGCAGTATCATCTCACTCTAATGTAACTATGTACTGCTTCTCTTGTTCTCACAGAAAAAGCCCAGGGAAGAATGACTTCTGGCAATGAATCTTCAGTGACCGAGTTTGTTCTTCTGGGTTTAACACAACAGCCAGAGCTCCAGCTCCCTCTGTTCTTCCTCTTCTCAGGAATCTATGTGGTCTCCATGCTGGGGAACCTGGGCTTGATTGTTCTGATTGGTCTGAATCCTCAGTTCCATACTCCCATGTACTACTTCCTCTTCCACCTTTCCTTCATTGATTTCTGCTATTCCTCTGTCATAATTCCTAGGCTACTGATGAGTTTTGTAAATCTAAATATCATCCCTTATGTGGAGTGCATGGCTCAGCTCTTTTTCTTTGCTTTCTTTGTAATTGATGAGTGTTGCATTTTGACAACCATGGCCTATGACAGATATGTGGCCATCTGTAAGCCCCTGCTTTACAAAGTCATCATGTCCCATCAGATGTGCCTCATGATGGCAGTGGGTGTGTACGCAATGGGATTCGCAGGGGCCATAGCTCATGTAGTTTGTATGCTGAGACTCAAATTCTGTGACAGCAATGTCATCAATCATTACATGTGTGACATACCTCCTCTTCTGCATCTGTCCTGCTCAAGTACTTCCATCAATGAAATAGTGGTTTTCATTGTGGTTGGTGTCAATGTTATAGGTCCCAGTCTTATCATCTTCATTTCTTATACTTTGATTCTCTCCAATATTTTTTGTATGCATTCTAGAACAGGCAGGGCTAAAGCCTTCAATACCTGCAGCTCTCACATCATTGCTGTTTCTCTTTTCTTTGGAGCATCCGCATTCATGTACCTTAAGCCTTCTTCTACTGAATCTCTGGATCAAGATAAAATATCTACCGTTTTTTATACCATTGTGGGGCCAATGATGAATCCTTTTATCTACAGTTTGAGGAACAAGGATGTCCATATTGCACTGAAAAAGACTTTGAAGAAAAAGATTAGTACATAAACAGAAACCACTGCTGCTATATATGTCATATTAATTAACACATATAAAGCTATGGGTAGAATAGTGAAAAATCAGAGTATGAAAATTATTTAAAAATAGAGAAAATGAAATACTTATACATATTAATTCACAAGGCAAGGCAATACAAGTAAGAGGAAGGCCAGTGTTTATTTTTCTTTCTGTAGGAGTAGAGAGTATTAATTAGTATGTCCATCTCCTGTTTATTTCTGGCTTGTAAGATTTTAGTAGAAAACTGCTACATAGCAATAAATGTGGAAGTGGTGAGTTGTGAAATTTGAACTCAGTCATAGTTGGAATTTTTGTGCCACTGTGTTATATTATTAATGATATACTTCATATACTTTAGTAACTTGTTTATTTGGCAAACCTCTATTGAGTGAAGGTTTTAGGAACTTTTAGGACAGCACTTTGCTTTACAAAACCAAGGATATTCTGAGTTCTCTTCTTACTTTATTCTCTAACATGTGAGTTAAGGAGAGGTTCAAGATTTGCTTCTGACAATAGTTCCTAAGAACAAGAAGTAAACTAGGGCAGCCAGGTGAAAGGGAAGCTGCCTTACATGCACCTCTTAGACTCTAGATAGGAATGTAGGCATGAGGGTAGCCCATGTCTTACTCAGGAAGCAGTTTGCTACAAATGTTTATCATGTATCAGTAGAGGAATTTTGATTGTTGCCTCAAGCATACTTCATAAATGTAATACATTAGTAGCTCTTTTCTAATTTTTTCACTCTGATTTTGTCTTAGTCTTTTACATGACACAAAGGATGCAGTTTATCTGATGAGCAAATATAGGCTGAGTACCCTGTTTTAGAGATGCAAATGTGCACCTTGTTTTCAATGTAAAAAATGTAGTGGTAAAGAAGACAGAAAATGTCTGTTCTCTCAAGATCTTAATTGTCTATACCCAGGTAGAGATGGGACTTAGGTGGTGAGAGAGAAATGATGAGAGAATAATAAAACACACACACACACACACACACACACACCCAAAATTCCTGCAAAGTCTTGATTTAAGGTGATGACCCAGAGGCACTGTGATTTCTTTGGAATAGGCGGTAAGGATGCACTTCAGTGAGATGGCAGCACAGGAGCTGAGACCTCACTGATAGCAGGAAGTCTGCCCCGTGGAGATTTTGAGACTAAGCTAAGAGTTAGCTTAGAAGAACTGGATTAGCGTGGTACACAGGAACGTAGTCAACACTCTGAAGCATTAGGACTTTGCACGGGAAAAGAACGGATGCTACTAAAACACAGCAAAAATCATTGCGCCATTCCCAGAAATGAGTGCTTTCTTTCCTTTTCCTTATTTTGAAGCTTTATTTTCATTTTATGTGCCATAGAAATAGATTAAGATTCCAGGAAAAATCTGTAGTGAAAGATGGGACAATGTAGCTTAAGTAAACTAAAAATGTCGTGTCTTGCAAGTACGATTATGTTTTTGCTGCTAATTTTTTATGCTTGAGAAAGGATGAGGCAGAGGCTCCAGAATCTCAGCTGAACCAGGTACAGAAGAACTTGAGAATTCCTTTGATTTTTGTCTTTGGAGACATGGCATGACCCCTGATATTGGAACCATGTTTTCTGATTGTAGACTCTGAACATTTTATGTGTATGTCCTCCCCATCTTAGTTTCTACATATCTAATATTGAAATTTCTTTGGTGCAAATTAAATGAAATCATACAGGTTTCTAAAATTTTATTTTAATTCGCTGTTGGAAAAAGCATAACAGAGTAATTCTAAGACAGATATTTCTTTCCAGATAACTTCTCAGAACTTAGTATTTGTTGTAGTCAGGTTTCACAGGGCAAGAGATTTAATGCAGCACATATCATTTATAGGATTATGTTATAATATTTACCCAAAGAGTCAAATGCAGAAGAGTGCAGGAGATCATTATACACATTAGAGACACAAAGAACCTAACTGAAGTCCTAGAGCCATGGCAATTTCCTTCATGAGTCCAGCTGGAGGCCTAGGGCCCACAACAATGCCTCATGCTAGTCTGTACCAAGGATCTGCACTGGGAAGGCCCAAACGTCAATGGTGGAAGCTAGAAAGCTCTACTGCAGTGTAGTGAAGGATCTGTGCCACTAGGCTGAGTGATCAGCACTGGAGCCAGGAAGTGACTGGTGCCCAAGGTAAGGACCAGAGCGCTCCTGAAGAGGACCACAGCCATCCTCAGTGGCAGTGAGGGACTGAGCACTTACTACAATGAGAACAGCTGAGTTCATATCAGGAAAACCAGTGTGACAGGCTTCTCTAAGAGGATTGATAACATGCCACATTCCCTTCTAGTTGTCTTTGTGCTGTTGGCAACAATATTCAGGTGGGCCTGTCACACCCAGAACCACACTGATGCAGTTCAGCTTGGTGTTACAAGTTGACCAGTAGTTAATCCAGGGCTGTATTCATCTTATATACAGTGTCACCTCACAACTGTTAACCTGATGTCAGTCATACAGTTGACTGTTCATACTTGAACATAGCTTCAGATTTTTATGTCACTGCAATTTAGTCAGGAAAATTGGCAACACATGCGTAAAGTTAATTAGCTTGTTATCATGTAAGATTCTTTTATGTGTATGTATATGTACATTTTTATATATAGTACTCAACATATAACCATATATGTGAGTTTAGTTTTACATTTCTTACAGATTTAACTTTAGTTATAATACAGCACTGACATATATACAGAAAAAGTTAGAAAAAAGTGCTAGGGGAATATATTTTGAAATAATTACACAAATTATTAGAGGAATGATTATAGTTTTATTTATTACTTTATTTTATAATAAATTAACAACATGTTTTATAGGTTCTAAGTATGCAAGAGATCTTCAAGTTGATGAAGCTCGTCATATTTCATTCCTAAGATTGATTGAAAATACTGGCTTACAAATCCAAAGCCACATACATGAAGGCAGGACAGATTTTTCCATCTCCTTAGATACAAGAGTATTTCTAGATACTCTTAAGAAAGTACATTCATTAAGTATATAGTAGACAGTCTAGATACCAAATGATTAGCAGGGCAGTGCATGATCGGCAGTGATTTTTATTTTCTTGATAATAAAAGACAGTGCATCATGTCTCACAAATATTGGCATCAATGTGTTTGTGAGATTCAATATTGCCCTCACCTTATTTGATCAGTAGGGTTGTTATGGACTTAATGGGGTTCCTGTGAATTCATGTATATGTGTTTAATTTCCTAATGCCTCCTACTGGTGTTTTGAAGATGATGACTCCATTAAAACAAAACCATGAGAGTGGGCACTAATCCAACACGTGTGATGTTCCCTAGAAAGAGGAAATGTGAAATTATTCATAGCCAGGACACAAATGTACAGAGGAAAGACCTACTACACAGCAAAATGGCAGCCATCTATATGTCAAGTCCAGAAGCATCGAGAAGAAACCAAGTTGGCTTCATATATTTCATAGGCTTTTAGACTCCAGAGATGCAAGAAAATAAATTTCTCATGCTTAAACAGTCTAGTGAGTGGTATTTTGTTATGGGAGAGTCATAACAATGATGAAACAAAATTTTTGATTTTACAAACATAGTGACAAAGTAAAAATGATAAAGCAAGCAAAAAAACTAATGCAAAACTCAAATGACTTCCATGCATTTGGAAGAATTTAAATTTATATAAAGGGTTTTTTTGTTAATCAACATATAATAATGGTACATATTTATGAGGAACAGTGTGGTAGTCTGACACATACTCTTAAACTGAAAGGCAAGTTGAGATACATGAACTAAGAGTGAAAACAGAATTTATTTGAACCCTAAGGAGGATGAGCATTTGAGGGAAAGCCTAAATTCTATTCCTTCAGGAGAAGTGTTCTTGAAGTGACATTCAAGGGATATATGGTCTTACAAGGGATATTAAGAACAAGAGAGAAGGTGTGGTAAACAAGTTGTTACAAATACATTGGTGAGCAGGATGCTGATAGGCCAGCAGTCACTTATCTTCCATAATTCAGGCAAGAATTATGATAAATAAGAAAAAGCTTTTACTGTTACCTCCTCAGAAACCTATTATAGTTCATAATGACCAGGCTGACTATGGTCTTATGTTTCATGTTCTCTTGGAATGAAGAGTTTTCTGATCTCATTCTTTTTTTTTTGGGGGGGGTCTAGGTAAAATTTATTGTCAAGTAGATAGGGACTTATGTATTTTCATGAGAAGGCTGAACACATTCTTATGTACTCAAGAACTACTCTTGGGGGCCAGGGAACTGGGGTGACAATGATGCTGCTACTTGCTGCTGCTGCTGCTGCTACTGATGCTTATGTAGAAGTTGCAGTCAGGCTGGGCGTGGTGACACACACCTATAATCTCAGGGTGGGGGAGGCTGATTGAAGTTGTTCAAATTTATCTTTTTTGTGTGAGCACAAGTCTTCTATAAAGCAGATACCACTGCTAGCTGGCAAAGCATTGCGAGCTTGAATGCTAACTGCTCCAGTTCCATATTTATTTCTGGAGAGAGTAGGAAAGATTTCAGTAGAGGCTGGATGATGCATTCCATGGAGAACAAGGTTTATGCTAAAATTTAAAAGTCTATCTAAAAGTAGAGCATCACTTGTTATAATTAAAGTATCCAGGGTCTGGGGAGATAGGTCAGTACAATAAGTGCTTACCTGATAAGCGCAAGGAACTGAGTTCAACCCCTGGTTCCTTTAAAAAAAAATCAAAAGTCAAGTTAATTGCTAAAAATACTCACAAAATATCCAGGCAACTTTCTAGATCCTTCTTACAATCACTTGTCTGTACTAGACTCATCAACAAACATAATGTCAACAAATTGTAAGTCCCAGGAGGAACAATTTATGATGCAAAGATATTGACAAGTTTTGCTGTAAATTTCCTGCATGAACCGGAAGTCAAGGAGAGGAGACAATTGAAGTTGTCACTGATTTCGGAAGAAACTTTTGGATTGCAAAAAGTGATGCAATTTGCTTCTA